TGAAAAATGTTAAGATGGCAAATTGAACAATCTAGTGGAATAGACAAATTCACTGAAAAAAATTGCAAATTTATTTAGCAGAAGAAGAAAGAGAAAATCTATTTAAAAATTTGTCATAAAGAAAACCCTATGCCTAAACACGATGGAAGAAATTGCATCAATCTTGCAAAAATTCCTCCAGAAAACATAGAAAGGGAACACTTCCTAACTTTTTTTGTGAGCCTAAAATAAACTTGATTCCAAAATCTCATGAGGATATTACAGAAAACAATATAGACCAAGTTCTCATAATCAAAGATGCAAAAATCTTTAACAAAATATTAGCAAATCAAATTCAGTGATATATAAAAAGATATTACATCATGAGTAAATGAGGTTTATTTCAGGAATGAAAAATATTTTTAACATTGAATGCATTTTACCACACTAATAAAGAAAAAAAAACCCGAATTATACAATCATCTTGGTACATAAAAAATTAGTGAGTAAAGAACATTTGACAAAATGCATGACCCATTCATGATGAAACTCATAGAAAACTGAAACCAGAAGGCAACTTCCTGAGTCTGTTGAGGGGTATCTTACCCCCCCAAACAAATCAACAACAAGCATCATACTCAATATCAAAATGTGAAAATCATCCCCCTAACATTAGGTATAAAACAAGGATGTCTGCTGTTAAGCAACCTCTACTCGACATTGTACTGGAGGTCCTAGCTATTGAAATAAGGGGAGAAAAAGAACTAAAAGACATACAAATTAGAAAGGAAGGACTAAACTGTTATTGTTTAAATTATGTTTTATATTTATTTATTTATTTTTAGAGTGGGGAGAGGGGTGAAAGAAGAGGGGGAGAGAGAATCTCAAGCAGACTCCGTGGCAAGCTTGGATCCCATGGGGGGGCTCGATCTCATGACCCCAAGATCATGACCAGAGCCAAAACCAAGAGTCGGATGCTTAACCTACTGAGCCATGCAGGTGCCCCAAAACTATTATTACTTGCAAATCACATATTTGCTTTGGGTTTTCTAGGTACACAATCTATATAAATTCAAAATTAGTGAATTTATCAATGTTGCTATGTATAGGTCAATAAAAAAAGCCAATTGTATTTTTATATATCTGCAATAAATTAAAAAAGGAAATCATACCATTTACATTAACATATGACTAATACCTCAGAATGAGTTTAACAAAATGAACAATCCCACTACACTGAAAAACACAAAATTTCTCTAAGAAATTAAAGAAGCCCTAAATAAGAAAGAATATAACATTCATGGACTAGAAGGCTCCATACTGTAAATATATAAAAATTTCCCCAAATGTATGTAATGCGATACTGATTAAAAGTCACAGAAAATTTTGTGGAAATTGACAAGATGATTCTAAAACTCATGAAAATGCAAAGGGCCAAAAATAACCAAGGCAATCTTACAGAAGAATAATAAAGCTGGAGGACTTTTGCTGCCATGTATAGAAATCCATTATACTGGTACAGTGTTTAAGACAGTGAGATGCCGATGCAAGGAAAGATGAATGGACCAGTGGAACAGAATAGAGTCCAGTAATAAATCCTTACATATATGGTGACCTGATTTATGACAAATATGCTAAAAGCAGTGATGCTGCCCCAAATCAATTCCAGATAGTTGGAGACTCTGTGAATATAAAATAAAATTTTTAGAGGGAACAGAAGAGAATACCCTCTTGACCTTGGAGGAGACAAAGATATATTTTTTAAAAATATTTATTTACTTTTTTTGAGAGAGAGTGTGTGTATGTGCAAGTGGGGGAGGGGCAGAGGGAGAGGGAGAGAGAATCTCCAGCAGACTCCCCGCTGAGCACGGAGCTTGACATGGACCTCGATCTCACATCCCTGAGGTCATGACCTGAGCTGAAATCAAGAGGTGAACGCTCAACCAACTGAGCCACCCAGGCTCCCTGAGACAAAGATATTTTTAACAGGACACAAGAAACATTAACCATAAAATAAAAATATTGCAAGTTGTAATATATTAAAATCAAGGACAGTTTTCATCAAATGGCAACATTAAGGGAGTGAAAAATCAACCCACGGAATGAGAGAAGATATTTTCTATATATATATATTCAATAGATCTAGATCTATAACTGATATGGGATTTATATCTACAATCTACCAAAAAAACTTCTAAAAATCAGTAAGAAAAATACATCTTAAAAGAAAAAAACAGGCAAAAAAATATACCAAGCCACTTCACTAAACAGGATAGTCTACAGGTCAGTAAACATGGGAAAAGTTGATCAAAGAGACTGCTACCCACACATCAGAATGGCTATGCTGAGAAAGAAAGAAAATGCCAAGTACTGAGGTGGATGGAAACCAACTGGAACTCTATGCTTTCCATAAATGTGTAAATTAGTACAATTACTTAAAAAAAAACTTTATTGAGGTATGATTGACATGTAAAAAGCTGCACATACTTACTGTATACAATTCAATGAGTTTGAGGATAAATATACATCTGTGAAGTCATCACGACCATCAGGGCCATAGACATATCCATCACCTACCAGAGTTTCCTCCTGCTGCCTTCTCCTTCTTTTCTCCTCCTCCTCCTCCTCCTCCTCCTCCTCCTCCTCCTCCTCCTCCTTCTTCTTCTTTTCTTTCACTTGGAGATCTACCCTCTTAGCAAATTTTAAATATACACCACAGCATTGTTAGCTAGAGACAGTATGCTGTATAGATTTCCAGAATTATCTTTATCAATAAAATTTAACAATATTAATTATTTCTTTTAAAGATTTTATTTATTTACTTGAGAGAGAGAGAGAGAAAGAGAGAACATGAGAGGGAAGAGGGTCAGAGGGAGAAGCAGACTCCCCGCTGAGCCGGGAGCCCGATGTGGGGCTCGATCCCGGGACTCCGGGATCATGACCTGAGCCGAAGGCAGTCGCTTAACCAACTGAGCCACCCAGGCACCCTAATAATATTAATTCTTGATAATGTGTCTTGCATAACTGTAACTTTGTACCTCTTGACCATCACCTCCCTCTTCCCCCCTCCCCAAGCCCCTGGCAACCACCATTTTACTCTTTGCATCTATGATCTTGACTATTTTGGATTCCACATTAAGCAAGAGAATATTTGTCCTTCTCTATCTGACTTATTTCACTTACCATAATGTCCACCAGGTTTTTCAATGTTGTCACAAATGGCAAGATTTCCTTCTTTTTAAAGGATGAATAATATTCCATTGTATGTATGTGCCACACTGTACATCCCTCCATACTGTTTTCCATAGTGGCTGCACCAATTTACATTTCCACCAACAGTACACAAAGATTTCCTCTTCTCCACATTTTCATCAACACTTGTTATCTTTTCCTTTTTTTCTTTTAATAATAGCCACTCTCACAGATGTGAGGTAATATCTCATTGTGTTTTGATTTGCATTCCCCTGATGATTAGTGTTGTTGAGCACCTTTTCATGTACCTATTGGTCATTTGTATGCCTTCTTTGAGAAATGTCTATTCAGGACCTTTGTCCATTTTTAAATTAAATATATTTAGATTTGAGCTATTAAAAATTATAGGAGTTCCTTATTGTTTTGGATATTAACCCTTTATTGCATATATGGTTTACAATTTTTTTTTCTAATCTGTAGGTTGCCTTTTCATTTTGCTGATTGTTTCTTTTGCTATGAAGAAGGTTTTGAGTTTGAATTAGGCTCACTTGTTTATTTTTGCTTTTGTTCCTTGTGCTTTTGGTGTCATATCCAAGAAATCATTGCCAAGACCAACAGCAACAAGATTTTTGTCTGTTTTCTTCTAGGGGTTTTGTAGTTTTAAGCCTTATGTTTAATTTTTAACCTATTTTGAGTTGATTTTTGTGTATGGTATAAGGGTCCAATTTAATTCTTTTGCATATGGATATCCTATTTTCCCAGCATCATTTATCCAAGAAACTATCCTTCCCCATTATGTAGTCTTAGCTGCCTTGTTGAAGATTGTTTGACTGTATGTGTGGGTTTATTTCTGGGCACTCTATTCTTTTCCACTGATCTATGTGTCTGTTTTTATCCTAGGACCATACTGTTTGATTACTAGGGCTTTATCATATAATTTGAAGTCAGGAAGTGTGATGCCTCCAACTTTATTCTTCTTGCTCAAGATTGCTTATTCCAAGTCTTTTGTGCTTCCATCTGAATTTTAGGATTTTTTTTCTATTTCTGTGACAAATGCCACTGGAACATGATAGGGATTGCATCAAATTTGTCGATCACTTCGGGTAGTATAGACATTTTAACAATATTGTTCCAAACCACGAACACGAGCTGTTCCTCCATTTATTTTTGTGTCTTCTGCCATTTCTTTCATCAAGTATAATTCATGCACCTCCTTGGTTAAATTTGTTCCTAAGTTTGTATTGGTTTTAATGCTATTGTGAATGAGACTGTTTTTTTTTTTTAAGATTTATTTATTATTTATTTTTGAGAGAGTGAGAATGAGAGAGAGAGAAAGAGTACATGAGAGTGGGTAGGGTTAGAGGGGGAAGCAGGCCCCTCGCCGAGCAGGGAGCCCGACGCGGGACTTGATCCTGGGACTCCAGGATCATGACCTGAGCCGAAGGCAGTTGCTTAACCAACTGAGCCACCCAGGCACCCGAGACTGTTTTCTTAATTTGTTTTTCAGACAGTCTGTTGTTAGCGCACAGAAACACAATTGAGTTTATATCCTGCAACTTTACTAAATCCCTTTATTCCACGTTTTTTGGTGGAGACTGTAGGGTTTTCTATATATAAGACGGCCTTCTTTAATAGTTAAGGTCGCTTGCATTTTTCTCCAAGACGAGAAAAGTAAGTTACAGAGGCTCTAACAAGCAATGCTCTCTCAGGGGAATCCTCAGTTACCAGCAGTCTGCACCTGCGCACTCCTGGGGGCGGGGAGGCTGGAACTCCCACAAACCACTGGGCTGAGCTCCGTTAGGGGCAGGCCTAAGTTGCATGCCGGGAACAATCTGAGCCGCAGAACTCTAGGCTTCCGAGGCATTTCCTCTTTGAGACTGCATTTCCCAGGGGCCACCACGCCGAATTAGCCGCCACTTCCGGCACCCGAGGGTCGATGTCCTGGTGGGGTGAGGCCCCGAGGTCGAGGAAGGACGCCGTGGCTGCCAGAGGCCTCTACTGAGCAGGACCCCAGCCGGAGGGACCCGCCAGTGTGGGTGGGCAGAGAGAGGCGCTCAGGACAGGGCGCTGACAGGCACCCGAAGGAGTTTCGGCAGAGCGCGCGCGCGCAGCGAGCAGAGGGATTGTGCGACCGTAGTGTGGGTGGGGGGGTATGCGTGAGGGCGCGCCTGGTGCAGCGGTGCTGCGGGGACGGGGACGGGGGGCGTGTGGACGCTGAGCGCGCTTTGCTATGGCTGTGTGTGTGTCTGTGTGTGTCTGTATGTCTGTCTGTCACGGGGACCTGTGGCCCGCCTCTTCGTCCGTCTTCTCTCCTCCCAGCCACGTGGCTGCAGCATACCAATGGCCCCAGTAGGGAGGCCAGATGCTGAGCCTAGAATGAAAGCTCCCCCCCAGAAAGCCTGGGCCTGGACTTGGGATGGGACTCTTAGAGCTGCAAGTGCCTGTCTGGGGCCCCCACGGGGGCAGCTACATGTTCAGAACTACCGCATTCTCAGAGTTCTGTCCCCAGGAACCAGCTTCGAACTCGGGGATCGAGTCCTCCTTTTACTCCCATCCCATTTTGTGCGAAGTAAGGGAGGTGTGGCCCTGGAGGGTGCTTTCAAATTTAGTCTGCGCTTCAGGAAAAGCCTGGGGTCTCATGCTCCCCTTCTCCTTCCCCAGTCGCACCATTATCCAAAAGGACCCCGAGAAGGGTGAGAGTATTATTGCTGCACCTCTAAAGTCAAGGGTGAGTTCCTGCTTTGTTTTGCATAAGAAATGCGTTTTTGTTTTTAGAATATAGAGGTTCCAGTAAATTTTCAGGAAATGTAGGGAGACGTGCAAATTGATACCCCACCATTTGGTCCCCCATTGCCCCTCACCTCTTCACTTAATATTCACTTGGTAAATAATTTGGTAAATACCAAAAGCAGTTTGGTAAATTGTTCATATCTTCTTGAGCACTCCCTTTTTCTAAGATGACACGGAAATAAAACTCCAGTGATTAATGCTAAAGCTTTATTTTAGACTCTGATTTGGTAAGAAGGAAATTAGTGTTTAGGTGGAATCACACACTGGATATCTTTTGGTCTTTAAGGGCCTGCTTTCCAAAGCAAGGGAACAAGGGAGATGGTTAGTTGATTTTAGTCAGTCTGAGGCTTTCAGAAATGGGAAAGTGATAGCAACAGAAGTTGGTATCAGTAAGAGCCAGGATTTTTCCAGGGCGTTCCATCAGTTGAAATTTGTATTATTGTCCATGTCTGTTTGAAGTTTGGCAGCTCGAGTTGTGTGTTGGGCTTCCTTTTGTGTGGATTGAGAATCATTATAGTGTGGTTGAGAGTAGGGGCTGTGGATCCAGAGTATCTGGGTTGAAATATTTCTCTCTCTGGCTGTCTCAGGTTTGTAATTAACGTCAGATGAGTTAATACGTATAAAGCCCCTTAGAGCAGTGTCAGACATACAGTAAATGCTTGATATGTTTTAGCTGTTGTTTATGTGTGTTTTAGCTCATTCCTCTCAATTTCTATACAGCAGGGGCATTAGGAATATGTGATCCATGGTGATTGCTGCCTGCATATTAAGAAAACAAGTGAGATGCTCAAGTGATATAGATTCTTGGGCTGCCAGGGTGGCTCAGTTGGTTAAGCATCTGACTCCTGATTTCAGCTCAGGCCATGGTCTCAGGGTTGTGGGATCAAACCCCGTGTGGGGCTCTATGCTGGGCATTGAACCTGCTTAAGATTCTCTCCTTCTGCCCCTCCCTCCCCCTCTCTCTCCCTCCAAAAAAAAAAGGAATAAAAATGCTTAACCTGAGTTGTTGTGATTCCATTTATAGTCTCAGAGGACCACAAATCCCTTGAAATAGTATACCAAAGTGTTATGGTGGACTTTATGGGGAAAGTATATAATTTCATGGGATTATTCAAAGTGTGCATGACCTAGAAGGCTTGGATTCATCAGTGCAGATCAGTAGTTCTTAACAGGGGGTGATTTCGCCCTCCAGGGGATGTTTGGTAATATTTAGAGGCAACTTTGGTTTCCACAGTGGGGGGCAGTGATAGAGGACAAAGATGCTACTAAACATTCTACAATGTACAGGATAACCCTCCCCACCATTCTCCCCCACAACAAAGAATTATCTGGCTTAATACGGCATTCATGCTGAGGATGAGAAACCCTGGTCTAGCATTAAAAGACTGTGATACTTGGAGTGATATTTAAAATGATCTTGTACAAATTGAGTAGTTAAGCAAATCACACTAGACTCCTGTGATGGGGTATTACGCACTTAAGAAAATTATGTTCATAAACAATCATGAAAAGAGAAAACATTTGATCTCGTGTTAAGCAGTATTCATGTTAGGAACGGTAGTACCCAAGATGTTGTATATGAATCGCATTTACTAAGGGAGGGCAATCTATAAGGATTCTCTCCAAAATTATGTTTTCATAGAATGAAGAAGAGAACCGAGCATGGTACTGTGTATATCCCATGCATTTCCTTACTCAGTCTGCAGGTGCCACTTACCTGCATTATGTTCTTTAGGAGAAGAATCTTGAACATGAAAATTTCTAATTATATTGGTGAGATACAGCCAAAGGATGTTAGAACTGGTCGCTGTTACTTGTTATAGTCACATTGATATCTTTGTTGACTCTCATGACAAGCTCGGTTCTTTAATGATTGGAAGTACCCACTTCCTGATAGCTCTGTTTTTATTTTTATTTTAATTTGGAAGTAACTCTTTTGTGGGGTTTTGTTTGTTTGTTTTGGGGTTTTTTGTTTTTTTATTTAGAGTGTGTGAGCAAGGGGAGGGAGGGGCAGAAAGAGAGAGAGAAAATCTTAAGCAGGCTCCATGCTCAGTGTGGGGCCCGATGCGGGGCTTGATATCACAACCCTGAGATCATGACCTGAGCCGAAATCAAGGGCTGGACACTTAACTGACTGAGCCACCCAGGCGCCCCTTTGTTGTGTATTTTTGATGATGGAATAGTGCAAAACTATTTTCTTTTTTTTTTTTCTAAAGATTTTATTTATTTAAGAGAGAGAGAGAGAGATAGAGAGCACGAGAGAGAAGAGGGTCAAAGGGAGAAGCAGACTCCCCGCCGAGCAGGGAGCCCGATGTGGGACTCGATCCCGGGACTCCAGGATCATGACCTGAGCCGAAGGCAGTCACTTAATCAACTGAGCCACCCAGGCGCCCAAAACTATGCTTTTTAAGGAACTTAAGAAGAAAGTTAAAATTATAGTACCACCGTCTAGAGGTAGTCATTATTGATGCTTTGGTTTATATTTTTCCAATTATTTTTTCTGTGTGAATACAAGAGTTTTGTTTCTGTAGAATAGAATCAGAATCAGTTCGAAAAACAAATCTAATCAAGTCATCGTTTTCATTCATTTCTGGGTCTGTGAGAGAGAGCATAATACCATTGCCTCTCCTTCTGAGGCTTCTGTGCTGAAAGGCTCCTTTTCTCCTTGTCTCTTTGCTAATGTGATTCTTTAAGAATTGCATTCTCCAGGCTAAGCTCTGAATATTCTAAGAAAGAGCAGGCCTTACACTATATTTTATGACTTACACAAGAAAAAGGGAAACAGTGGAGTTAAGTTTCTTTAACAAGTGTAATTTTCTTTATCCTCAGCAATAATGATGACACATATTAACTGCTAATATTAAGCAGTTAATATGTCATGTGTCATTATGTATGTGTCATTATGTACTTCCATTGAATTTTCTTAGTGTTCTTTTAGGTTTCTTATTTCTCCAGCACAGAAGGTGAAGTCTGAACAAGAATAAGTGTATAGCAGGGGATGACAAAGCCTATCAGAAAAAGTCATTTACCGTACTTTGAGAGTTTACGGGAAATATGCCTCTTTTGGTCTATAGAGTCACCACGCTTTGACCAAATTATAAGCCCATGGGATTTGTATAGAATTAAAGAAACTGTTGGAAATTCTAAATCTGTTAAATGCAAAGTGACTAATAGTGGAAGATGATACAGTGGCTCTTGAGGGAATACTGTGGCTGAAATGATAGGTTTAGAAGAGGATGTGTGAGACTATCAAATGTATGTAAGACATTGCTCAGACATTTTTTCTAGAAATTATTGTAACCTGCTCAGATAAATGTAGACATCTTAGTGTTGGTTCAAGAACTGGGAAATGAAACAAACCCGTTAAGTAAAAACAAGAGTTTATTAGAATATCCTGAGTTTTTCCACGTTTGTAGGGAAGTTGTCTAAGTAAAAGGTTGCCTTTCATCTGATTTGGAGAACAGCTTCCTCATAGGAAAAAACATACATATATTTAAACATACACATACATATATGTATGTGTTTATAAATATAACTGTATATACATTCCAAGTTAACGCCTTGCCATACAATTATGAAGCACTCTTGAGCAAAAAGTAGAGAATTGGGGCCACAATACAGTGACAAGAACTGTTAACATGACATATAATTTTCTAGAATTTTTTTCTGTCAATGTCTGTTAGTCTTCATATATATACATATATATTTTATAGATGTAATCATATTCTGCATCCTATTTTGTAACCTGAGTTTTCTGCTGACCGTGTATCTTGAATATGTAATGACTACTTAGTATCCCATTGCATGGATGCCCTGCCATATTTAACCAGTTGGCTTCGGTGGACTTAGAAAGCCAAACGCTGCCTGAGCAATCCCATCTACATCCTTCCAATTTTCATGCCTTGCCCCACTTCTTCCAATCCTGAGTTCACAAAGAGGTTCTGATTTGGATAATGTGACCCCTTCTCAGCCCTGCAAGGTGGGACGGGGGGAGGACGATCTGCACCGAGCAGGATGGGGAGCCCAGTCCTAGGCCTAGTCATGTGTCCCAAGAATGGAGGATCCCTCATACTCCCTCATATTTTGGAGGATGGGTTCCCCAGGCCTTGGGGGAGAGCTTGTTTTGTTCAGGCTGCTCATGTTTCATGCCAATTTGTATGGGGGAGGGTAGGAGGAGAGGTGGAGGGAGGAAGGGAAAGGGAGATTGTGTGAAGCAGAGAGGGATAGAAGAGGAATTTTAGGGAGTAGTTGGGACATAGAAATGGAAGAAAAAATTGTTGTATTAATTTGAGTCCCTTAGAGAGCACCGAGGCACAGCTTGGCTTAAGCCCTTCTTTTTTTTTTTTCTATCTAGGAGGGGAAGCATGAGGAAGATGGACCAATTTTATCATTCTAAAAACATGGCCTATGTAAGTTGGTATTTCTTCTCCTGAAATATGATGACTTCACATTTTTTTTTTAGCCATTCTCTGCCCTGCGGGGATCAGTAGGTTATCTCACAGCACACAGCAAGTTTGCTGTGCAGCAGCAAGATTCTTCCAGAACTTGCAGGCACCCTGCAAAGCGCCATATTGCTCATCCTGCAGCGCGGTTCTTCATCTCCTCTCTGTTCACCGCAAGTAATTTCCTTCAGTGTCCTGGTAATGCATGTGTGTGTGGTTTCAGGGATCTCTGTCATTTGGGGAAGTGGCCATCAGCTTCTCCCAGGAGGAGTGGGAGTGCCTGGACCCTGCTCAGAGGGCCTTGTACAGGGACGTGATGTTGGAGACCTACAGCAACCTGGTCTCTCTGGGTAAGACTATCTCCCCCAGTAGTAGTTCATTCTCAAGATTAATTAAAATTACAATAAAGGGGTGCCTAGGTGGCTCAGTCAGTCAAGCGTCTGCCTTCAGTTGAGGTCCTGATCCCGGAGTCCTGGGATCAAGCCCCGCATCAGGCTCCCTGCTCATCGGGGAGCCTGCTTCTCCCTCCCCCCACCCCGTTCATGCTCTTGCTCGCTGTCTCATTCTCAAATAAATAAATACAATCTTTAATTAATATATACAATAAAATTAGTATTGAACAGTTATAATTAATAATTTAAATTTTAATTTAATTTCATAATTTAACTTAAAACAATAATTTAATAAATTATTAGTGTCTCTTCTCTGGAATATTGGCTTTCTTCACTGTGAGTTTCAGGGCTTTTAAGAAATAGCTGAGTTTCTTCTTATTCCCAAGGAAATCGTTTGGAATTTGTCATGTTGAAAACGGGCATGTCCGTTTTTATAAATTTAGGGGCGCCTGGATGGCTCAATTGGTTAAGCGTCTGACTCTTGATTTCAGCTCAGGTCATGGTCATGAGATTGAGCCCCGTGTTGGGCTCCACACTGGGTGTGGAGTCTGCTTGAGATTCTCTCTCTCCCTCTCCCCCCTCCCCTCTAAAAAAATATTACTACAAATTTAACCAGATCTCAACCATTTTGTGGGGCTTTTTTTGTATATTTAAAAAAATTTTTTTCTACATCGTGTCATGTCATTTCTTTTTTTTTTGTTTTTAAGCAGGAAGTTCCATTTCTAAGCCAGATGTGATTACCTTACTGGAGCAAGAGAAAGAGCCCTGGGTGGTTGTAAGGAGAGAAACAAGCAGATGGTATCCAGGTGAGTAGGGGAGAAGCCAGCAGAGGGGGTCAGAGAGGGGTCATACCCTTGAGATGTGGTTTGGGAAAATGCCTTCAAAGACCCAAGGCCTGTTGGATAAAAATGCCCGAGATCTGAGAAGGAAATAAAGATCACACAGTGTGGGCTTTCAAGGGAACTCCATCTTTTGCTAATCATCTCTAATTTTTGTTCTTTTATTTCCTCTCCTTTTAGTGGAGTGAGTGCCCTCTTTCCCAGTGTAACCTTTTTTTTTTTTTTAAAGATTTTATTTATTTATTAGAGAGCGTGTGCCCATGAACAGGGGCAGAGGGAGAGGGAGAGCGAGAACCCCACGCAGACTTCCACGCTGAGCATGGAGCCCGTCGTGGGGCTCGATCCCACGACCCTGAGACCATGACCTGAGCTGAAATCAAGAGTCAGACACTTAACTGACTGAGCCACCCAGGCGCTCCCCTCCCCCAGTGTAACCTTTTAACATATATTTTGCATCCAGCTGCTTTCCAGCTCTGCTTTTGCATTTAAATTTCTGTATGTGTTTCCAGTGTCTAAAAAATGTTTTCATATATTCAGCAAAGATTTATCGAGGGTCCACTCCAAGCAAAGCACTGTGCTTGGCACTGTCTGTATGGTGAAATGAACATGACTGATAGACTCATGCTCTCATGGACTTTACCTGCAGTTGGCAAGACATGGATCAATCAAGTAAGCAGATGAGTAAATCAGTACTGTCAGGAATGATGCTGTGCAGACAAGTATATAGGAGCAATGAAGTGAGAATGACAGGCTTGGATGGTTAAGGCATGTCTTGAAGTGGGCGTGCTTGCACAGAGTCGTGAAGGAAAGGTTCAGGCCACAAATCAGGGCAAGAGCAGTCTAGTGTGAGCGGGACACCCAGAGGCCCTGAGCGGGAGCAATAAGAAATTTCGAGCAGAAGAGGTGAAGGGATGGTGGGAAAGGACGTCAGGGAGTTAGGCCAGGACCAGATCCTACAAGGTTCTGATCATCACTGTGAAGAACATAGAATATTTTCCAAGAGTTAGTTAGAGCCATGTTCTGATCTATGTTAAAAGTTTTCCTCATTTCATTTTCAAACAAACTAAGTATGACAAGAATACAAAAAGCCACATAACACAAAGAACTGCATGATTAAATATCCTAAGGTACCTGTACACCTTTAACCACCAGGTCGTGAGTTACGGTTTTGCCAGCTCTCCTGGAAGCCTATTGTGGTCTCTTTGCAGGAAAGGTTTTTCTCTAGAGCTTTGTTGTCTGAGTGAACTTCTCCAGTTTGATTTTGTTTTCCCTGTCATTTTAAAAAGTCTTTTAAGTCTCTTTTAGATTAAAGGTTCCTCTTGAATTTTTTTTAAAGATTTTATTTATTTATTTTTTTTTATTTATTTTTTTTAAAGATTTTATTTTTTATTTATTTGACAGAGAGAGACAGCCAGAGAGGGAACACAAGCAGGGGGAGTGGGAGAGGGAGAAGCAGGCTTCCCGCGGAGCAGGGAGCCTGATGTGGGGCTCGATTCCAGGACCCTGGGATCATGACCTGAGCCTGAAGGCAGTCTCTTAACCAACTGAGCCACCCAGGCGCCCTTGATTTTTTTGTTACCAGGTTTTTCTTGATTAAATTAGATCATTTGTCACATAGTTTCACACCATCTGGATTTTGCTGATGGCATCTTGGTGGTATGGAGGAACATGTACCTCTGTCTATTTCCTGTAAAATGATAGTTGGGTCTAGAGCTTACTCAGACTTTTGGGAAACTTTTTTTTCCCCTAGGTGATGATGATATTCTTCAGTCCACTGGCATGTGATATCTGGATTTCTCATTTTAGTAATATCTGCAGCCACTGACAGGCAGTTACTATGTCCCTTAATTCATTAGAGGTTGTAAATTGGTGGATATTCGAATTCCGTCTTTTATTCTTAATTAGCTGGAATGCACCTGTAAAAAGAAACTTTACATTAACTGTTACTCAGTTATACAGATCATTTGGAAAATTGAAGATAAATATTCTTTTCCTTGGTTTACTAATTTTCTGAATAATGAGTTGGTTTCTGACATCCTTTCAAAGGTGACCCATTTTGGGGGCACCTGGGTAGCTCAGTTGGTTAAGCGGCTGACTCTTGGTTTTGGCTCGGGTCATGATCTCAGGGTCCTGGGATCACGCCCCGTGTTGGGCTCCCTGCTCAGTGGGGAGACTACTTCTCCCTCTGCCCCTGCCCCCAACTTATTTTCTCTCTCTCTCTCTCTCTCACTCAAATAAATTGAGTAAAATCTTTAAAAAAAAAAAAAAAAAGAAAACTAGATTCACCAGTTGTGAACATTTGGCCACCTTTGCTATATGTATTTATGTATCTAAATGTTTGAAACCTTTTTTGCTGGACCGTGTGTAGGTCTAAGTCACTGATATTGTGACATGTGTTACCTAAACATTTCACTTTGCATCTTCTAAGAATAGGAAAGGTCCTAATAACCTTTCATTATTCCTAATTAGCTTCATTATCTTAACCCAAATAACATCATTGTCACACCTCAGAAAATCACCATATTTCAGGAGTATCGTCTACAATACAGTTCACAGTTAAATTTCTCCCATTTCTCTTTAAAAATTTTATTGTGTTTGTTTGGTTTTGTGGGAGTGTTTTTCAGTTTAAGATTCAGTCAAAGTTCATGAATTGATTTATGGATAGGTTTCTTTTTAAAACATTTTATTTTTACTAATTCTTTTTATTAGTAGGTTTCTTTAGTCCCTTTTTATCTAAAGAGCTTTTGTGCCTTAAAATTTATTTTAACTAAATTAAATTTTTTTTTTTTTTTACTTTGGCTTTTCTCTCTCTCTTATTTTTGAGTCTAAGTCCAGGCTCGTTTACTTAAACCATGACATTCTGAATTTATGTGATTTAAAATTTTTTCTCATGATTTGGTTTTGAAAGCGCCACAATAGATTCTAGTAGCATCATGTGAAGAATCACATAACGTCATGTCTCTGTATAGATTACTGTGATTTTGGTCAACCAAGTATGGCTTTCCATTTCCAAAGAAATGAATAATCTTTGATATTGAGTTTTATAATGATTTTATTGTGGCCAGAGAATATATTGATATATCATTATATATATCACGATATTATATAATATAGGATATGATCATATATAATATAAATGATTTCACTCCTTTGGAGTATGTTGAGAGTGCTTTATTTTATAGCTCAGCATATGGTCAGTTTTTATAAATGTTCTATATGAATGCAAAAGGAACATGTGGGGTGCCTGGGTGGCTCAGGCGGTTAAGCGTCTGCCTTCGGCTCAGGTCATGATCCCAGGGTCCGGGGATCAAGCCCCACGTCAGGCTCCCTGCTGAGCGGGGAGCCTGCTTCTCCCTCTGCCCCTACCCCTGCTCGTGCTTTCTCTCTGTCATTCTCTCTTGCGCTCACTCTCTCAAATAAAATCTTAAAAAAAAAAAATGTAACCCTCAGTCACACTCTCCAGTAATTCCCACCTGACTGCTTATATTTCCACACTTTACACATACACATTTAGCTGTTTTATGTTGTTGTTTCTGTTGTGCTCACACAAGATCATACTGAAGTTGCTGTTTTATTGCCTGCCTTTGTCAGTCAGTGGTTCTCACCTATCACTATGTAGTGTCCTCTGTGCTGTCACTGTCTTACGTTTGTGCTAGAGCAGCATTGCTTCTACAGACACCAAAAACGCAACAGTACGATTCTTCTTCCAGCTGTCAAATGGGTTCTAAAGAACTCGAGAGGAAAAGATGGTCTATTGTATTGATATTACTGTTTCTTTTACTCTTATTTCATTCCTGATGCTCCAGATTTTTTTTTTCCACTTTGTTCTAGAGAACTTTCTTTATCAGGTCTTTTATCTTACTTTTTTTTTTTTTTTTGAGAGAGGCGGGGAGGGGCAGAGGGAGAGGGAGAGAGAGAGAGCGAGCGAGAATCTTAAGCAGACTCCAGAGCCTGTGTCAGCCTCAATCTCATGACCCTGAGATCATGACCTGAGACAAAATCAAAAGTGGGACGCTTAAGTGACTGAGCCACCCTTGCTCCCCTTCATCAGGTCTTTTAGACTCAGTCTGCTGGGGACAAATTCTTGTAGTTTTCTGTCATTTAAAAATGTCTTTATCTCAGGGGCGCCTGGGTGGCTCAGTTGGTTAAGCAACTGCCTTCGGCTCAGGTCATGATCCTGGAATCCCAGGATCGAGTCCCGCATCAGGCTCCCTGCTCAGCAGGGAGTCTGCTTCTCCTGATGCTCCCCCCTCTCATGTGCTCTCTCTCTGTCTCTCATTCTCGCTCTCTCAAATAAATAAATAAAATCTTTAAAAAAAAAAGTCTTTATCTCATCTTTATTTTGGATTCATATTTTATCAGGATAGAGAATTCATGGCTGGATTTTTCTTCTAGTACTTTAAAACATTGTGCTACTTCCTTCTCATTGAAGCCTGTAGGCACGGAATCATTATTCAGGAATTATGTAGGCAATGTGCCGTGGTGGTGGTTTTTAGGTGTTTTCAAGTAAATTTTCATTTGTTGTTTGTTTTTAGCAGTTGATTATGATAAGTTCGGGTGTGGAGTTTTGTTAGGGGCTCAGTGAGATTTTTGAGTCTGCAGGTTTATGAATTTTGCCACGTTTGGGAAAGTTTTGCCCTTTTTTCTGCAGTATTTTTCCAGCTGTGCACACTTTTCCTCTCCTGGGACTCGGGCAGTATGAATGTCAGCACTTCCAGCATTGTCCTCCTGCTCCCTTCTTGCTGTGCTTCTTTGGTTTTTATTCTTTTCTCTTTCTCTTGTTCAGGTTGGATGAATCTTTTGTTCTATCCTAAGTTTATTGATTCTTTCCTCTGCCTTTTCCATTCTGCTACGGGATGCACAATATTTTAATTTTAATTATTATAGTTTTCAGTTCTAAGTTTTACTTCGTTCTTCTTTATATCCTCTGTATATTTCTCTTTCTCTTTTTTAAAGTATAATTAGCA